TGAGTCCCGTATCCCGTCATTCTGTGGCATACACCCAAAACTGATAGTTGGCTAGAACCAAAAATCTTTAGTATTTCAGATCTAATCACATGAAACTTTACTGTCCCCAAAATAAATCTTATATTTTCTGAAAGCCCTTGAAATTCTGCATCATTTAAAGTATTACTTCAAAAGATTGTAATATATGCCGTGAAAGTTAGTTCATGCCACAAATGCTGGCGAACGATGTCCATCTCTATCGATTGTACTTTAAAATTAGGATACTAAATATTTTATGTTCATCGGAATCGAAAATATGATTGAGATTTCTAATTAGTACCAAAGACTACGTATAAACATGTTATTTAATGAAATGTAACCTTAATCATTCTAATTTGTTATGAGAAGATGTGGAACCAAATGTTTTAGATTATTTCAAATGACTGAACTCTTAGCTTGAAAAGTGTCTACTTATGCATTTTTAAATTTTGTATTATTTTCGAGAAAATCGGGTTTTCTTTGATGCTTGCGGTAAAAGCATACAAAACTATGAAAACTGTATCGATGTTTGGTAGATTTTCTTATCAAAACTTATTATGATAGCGAAATGGATAACATATTCGGAATCAACGCAGAAAAACTACGAAGAATAATATTTTGTTAAGACATTTTTCACGAAAATGCACACCTATGCTTTCGTCTGATCATGTTTTTCCTAAGTTTGCCTCTGAGCTCCAAGGGGTTCATTTTTCATTAAGAAAATCATTTGACAAAAGATATGTGATTCTACGTAGTTGTTCTGCGTTGATTCCGAATATGTTATCCATTTCGCTATCAGAATAGATTTTGATAAGAAAACCTACCAAACATAGATACAGTTTTTAATAGTTTTGTATGCTTTTACCGCAAGCATCGAAGAAAACCCGATTTTCTCGAAAATAATACAAAATATAAAAATACATAAATAGATACTTTTGAAACTAAGATTTCAGTCATTTGAAATAAGCTAAAACATTTGGTTCCACATCTTCTCATAGTAAATTAGAATAATTAAGGTTACATTTCATTACATAACATTTTTATACATAGTTTTTCACACTAATTAGGAATCTCAAGTCATATGTTCGATTCCGATGAACATAAAATATTTAGCATCCAGATTTTCAAGCAGAATCGGCAGAGATGGGCATCGCTCGCCAGCATTTGTGGCATGAACTAACTTTCACGACATGTATTATAATCCTTTGAAGTAATACTTTAAATGATGCAGAATTTCAAGAGCTTTCAGAAAATATAACATTTATTTTGTAGGCAGTAGAGTTTCATGTGACCAGATCTGAAATACCAAAGCATTTTCGTTTTAGCCAACTATCATTTTTGGCCGTGTGCTGACAATGTCAACTGATGAATGATATTGTAGAAGTTAATGAGTCAATTAATCTTGGAAAGAAAAGATTTCTGTATTTTTTGAAATGTTTCGGAACTCGAATGGATGAGTAGATACACAGAAGACTGCAAAAGATGAAGAGCATCCTAAACATCTGATATTTTTGGCTAAGTACTGAGAGTGATGTCACTTGTATACTTTGGCATTTTTGCCATATGGATCAAGAAGAGCTAACATTTTGAACTTAAAGCACTCTAGTGACGACCAATCATTCAAGATAATAAAATCGAAATTCCAGTGGCGACTGATTTCAAACCAAACTGGTCACTGGCCAGGCAAATTCTCTTGTAAAATCAGTTTGAATTTTTTGAAAAACTTTTTTAAGGGAAAAAGTATGAAAATAAATGAAATACAATAAAAGACTCTGCTGTAAAATTTATACGTTTAGACATGATCGACAGTCCGAAGCCTCCTATTGTAGGAAGAAATTTAGGCGTACGATAAGCTGATGTGAGTTTGGATGCAAAAATAACTTCATAAATATGTCATGATCCTTGTGGTCATATGTTCTTTCGCGTAATTTCATATGCAAAAATGTTTGAATTTTAGAACGTTGAGATAAATCTCAACACATGTTAATTTGTCAGGTTTTAATGCTCATCGCCGAAACAAACATTATCGAAAAACAAGATTGTCGAAATAAATATTATGGAAATAGAGATCATCAATATAGATATCTGAATTTATTTTAAATAATCTTTTCTATAATCTTTGATTCGGCGAAGAGCGGTACATCGCATTTTTAACGCAGTTCAAATGAGAACATTTATACAGATCGATGATGTAACTGTATACTGAACCATCATAAGTTTTTTTTTAAATTTTTTATAAGACATATGTATGTAAAGTTTTCATTTAGTGGCATGCCGACCTGAGAAAGAAAATAAGATAAAACATTTATTAAAATGAAGACAGATGACTTCATGATCAAATGTGACATTTTTTTATTTGGTTATGACGACTCAATTTGTTTAATTATAATTATCTTGACATGATGACAAATACCAATAAATAATTTTTTGCCAAAAGCATTCCATACTCAATTGTTGAAATCATTTTTTGCTTTTTTTAAGAATCATCAATGTCTCGATCGATAATTGACATTTGAAGCGTCTTCATCTGCATGTTGCATTTCGAGTTTCATCCAAACGGCATCTGGTCACATCACTAGCACTGAACGTCAAATGATTTGATATTCAGACAGTAGATAATATGGTTCATTATAGTTCTTTTCGTATTTTTAGTTTCACACACGATCAGTTTATTATTAAAATTATATTTAAAATCAGTTCGTGCAAATAATTTCTCCCGTCAGTGTCTGTATATTTTGATTACATATACAGTATTGTATTCAAAAAATAAAACGTTGTTGAAAAGAATTTTTATCTAATCGAAAATTATATGAAAATTTGAATTTGTTCTTTCATACATATACACACATTCATTGAGAGCATATGAGCATTTTTCGATGTTCTCTATTGTCTTCAACTTAATAGTATAGGTTAATACAATGGGTTTCTATTTTATTAAACTAAACAATTTCATGCCATAGAAATAGAGAATCTCAAAACTCCAAAAGACTATTTAGAAGGCTTTATGTTACATCAGGTTCATGAAGCTTAGAAATGCATTTGTGTCTCTCGTGATTATTAAGAGAAAATTGCCTCAATTCAATGCAATTATAGTCCTAAGAATAGGATATAGTTTAGCACTAGTCTGTGTATTATATGAACTCTGTATTAAGAAAGTTTTGCGTTAGTTTTACGCCAACGTAACTAATTGTTATTCAGAAAAACTAATCACAATAAAAAATGACTAATTTTGCATCAATCAAATCCAATCTAGAATAAAAATGGAAAATTTTTAATGAAAACATTTCACTATATATATATCATACTAATCATTTTTCTATTATCATTTTATCAAAATTTCGATTAAACATCAATAATAGCTATAGAAAAAGAAAAAAGAAACATGTATGTATATATTCACAAGACAATAATATATCAATGAAAAAAACTCATTGAAAAATCATTTCTAAACGGAATTATATATTGAATTCAAAGATATTGAAATTAAATAACAGAAAACTTTACAATATTACTCGGTCTAGTATTATTGTTTAGTTCATTATATTAATTATGAATAGAATCTATTTTGATCAATTTAGAATATTATTCTGTTTTTCTTTGTTCTTCTCTCGAGGGATCGTCTACTAAAATTTAGACTTATAGACAATTAATTTGATGATTTTTGTAGAATGGAATTGAAGTATCATAAACAAAATCCGATGAAATAAATATTCTCTTTCCATGCATATAAAACTTGTGCTAATAGAAATTCTGATTGAATCTAGTCCGTGGGTAACAAACAAGAGTCTTTTCATGTAATGCTTATGATTACACAATTCTCTATTTGACAAACATATTGTTTGAATAGTGGAAAATACATAATATTTTTTTTAATGCCGTAGATTTAGATCATTTTAAAATATTTGACACATATTTTTTTCTGAGCATTATTCATTATGAAAGATTTCATTTATCTTGTCATAAACTATAAGATTACCCATTTTCTCGTTTTGTAATTATTTCTTCTAAGTCTGTGAAAGGCTTTATGCTTTGGCTTACTATAGATTGAGCATTCAGATAATAAAATAAGGCAAATGCTCATTTATTTACATCAGATCAACTTCTATTTATTACTATGTTTTTTAATTGTGCTAGAAAAACATTGTTATAATAATGAATAACTGCTCTTTACAAAGATGGAGCTTTGAAATATTTAGTTTATTTTATAAAACGTATTATCTATTGAATTATTAAGAAACCTATTCAATTTCTTTTAGGAAAGCAACGAGTAATAAATGTATTGATAGAACCAAATGACAGTGTTTGTCTGATAGGATAATTATCATTGAAGTTGAAAGATTATTTGTTTTACTTGTTTGATTTATTACTGTCTGACATGATACGAAATGTATAAGTTGTTCGTGTAAATTATAGAGTCAATTATAAATTTCAATATATTTATGAGAAAGAAAAGTACTTAAAGTAAAATGTCAATAAATGAAAAACTTACTAAATAAGGTCATTATTTAAAAAAGAGTTTGTTTGCCGCATGTAGTAGATTGGAGTTTCTTGTTTTTCTATTGCGTTGAACAAAACATAGAAATAATTCGGAAATATAATTGATCACATTTAACAATCGTTCAATATGTAATATTCTTCTCATATAAGAATATTGTAGATGATTTTCTTTGTTATAGTTATAAATGTCATCTATTATTTAGTTCAATAACTAATCTAAGAATATTGCATAAGAGATTTTCTATTTTTTTTTATTTCTTTCGTATTGTTCATTATTATGTTCAACAAATAGAATATTCTATATTGAATAGAAACTACCGATTCTTTTGTATAGTATCTTTTTTTTTCTGTTCTCATTGTCATTTTATGCATGCGCAAGGAGAGGATCGATATTGAGTGTATAAGCGAAAGAAGCTCAAGCAAAAAAGAATAGCAGACACAAAAAGAAAAACAGAATAACAATAAATTTAACATATGAGAAACTTTTAATGCTCAGTTGAATTTGATATACCATGTAATGATAAATCTTCTCGTTCGAATACCGATGAGACAGGATCAGGTTGTAATTGTACAGCAAGATGATGACTAGTTCGTTGTGATGCGTATATTTCACTATAGCGTACAATTGAAGATTGCCTTTTTCCATTTTGATCGAGTTGTTTTCGTTTCTGTGATTTATTTCCATGTATACTATCATGTTTCAATGAAATTTTATTCATTCCAGTTGCTGTCGAATGTTGTGGCAAACCACCTGAATCTGTTGTATTTGTCGAATTTGAATTCGTTTTAATTCGACAACATTTAAATATATTAAGTCTTAAACGTCTAAAACGTGAACTAATTGTTCCGTTATCATGTAAATAAGCCAAATCATTTGGATTTATTGGTTTACCAATAAAAAAATAAAGTAATTCATGTAAAAAATTGTTCATTTCCGAACGAAATTCTTTTGCCGTTACTGAATATATAATAATATTAACTGAATGATTAAGATTCATTAAAATAATACAAAAAATTTTTATCAAGATTAACATCAATTGACGATACGGATTTTTTTTATCTTTTACATATGGATGTATACTTAAAAATATAACTATTGGAGCTGTTAAACTAATAAAAACAAGATTGATAGTGATTAACATTACAGATATATTACGACGACGACGTGATCGACGAACAGAAGTTGAACCAGCTCGTGTTGATGAACGAACAAGTGTTAAAATGATTATTATTGTACAAGCAATCATCGCTTTAAAAAAAAAAAAAAAAAAAAAAAAAAAAAAAAGATATTTTTATTATTATTTCTTGTTTCTTTTTGTTTACCTGTAAATGGCAAGAAGACATTCATAAGAAGATCTATCCATATCCAAAAAAGATGAAGTGATCCATGTTTAGGAGAATTTTCAAGTGAACAATGAATTATATTAACATCAAATGGTATAATAGCTTCTTGTGACATAGTAATATATTCATCATATTGTTGTTGTATTGTTGTATCTCGATAAATTGTTGAAACTGATGATGGTGTAAATGATTCATATGATAGTGATGAACTACTTGTAAGTCCTACAGTGGGAAAACTATTCAATGAAAATTCATCCGAATTTTGATGAGCTATTGTATTTGTTGAAAAATATTTGCCATATGTACTTTGATTATTTTGCATAATTTGTTGTTGATTTCTTTGTTTAAATGAATTATTTTCATAAAGAAAAAAATGACTATTTAACATTGCAAGAAAAAGTCCAAGCAAGAGTGTAACTAAAACTGAATGTTTTGGTTTCGACCATGTTTTAGCTAAACGAAGATATTTTGCTGATATAACACGATCAATACTAACAGCAACTAATATCCATGATGAATATTGTGGCAGAAAATAAATACAAAATGCAAATAAATTACATGTAAATGGTTCATCTTGTATATCATTATTAAAATGAAATAATAATATAAAATTAATACAAAACGTCAATATAACTCCAAGATCAACAAGAGCAAGACAAGCTAAATAACAAAAAGTTGAATATCGTCTCATATTTGCACGAAGTAAAACACAAAACGATAATAAATTTCCAAATGAACCCAATATAAGTACAAGCACCGGATAAACTTTCAATAGAATTATAATGGACGTGAATATTGATCGTGTTGTGGGATTCGCTAGTAAATAAGATGCTTGCGGTGAAAAACCGTTTATGGTCTCGACTACTTCATCGCTGTTTACTGTCGTCATATATATGCGCAAGAAAGATTATTTAAATCAACAAACATGATGAAATGGTTTTTTGTCTTTTTCTTAAAGACATATCTAAAAATAATCATTTAGTATTAGTAAAATCATGCTTTCAAATACAAAAAAAAAACAAGGAAGAAGAGAAAACTCAAGTGATTCTTTTTGAAAATTATCATTTTTATTAGTTAGAATGAAAAAAATTTTTACAATTTTTTATTCAAGGCAGCATAAAGAATAAGTACTAGAGAAAAATTTTTGTTTTTAATTACAAAACATTTCTGTAAGTATGTTTTGTGTCAGCAATCAACATATCTCAGAAAGAAAAGGAAGAAAAATATTGCGTTTTCTGTTTGTAAAAAAATTACGATCGATACCAGAGTAAGAATTACACATGTATGTAGAATCCAGCTTTAATCGAACACATTCATATAAATGTGTCTATGTTAGAACCATCTTTCTTTCTAGTAGTATAATTTATGAACAAATGAACTGACATATTTTTTATCTAACTATAAGAATAAATTATCTATGAAAAAAATGTTTTGCTCATCTAAAAAGAAAAAAAAAATATGATAAAAAATAAAAACAAATATTTTTGATAAACTAGCTCGATCGAATTAGTTGATAGTAATGTCGCTTCATCAAAAAAATTTATTTTTCTTCTTTGAGTCTTAAATGCTGTCAAAAATCTTCTTACTCGTTTCGACATAATGTAATTCCGAATGAGACTCTTGCTCGAGCTATATATGTGCATTTACTCTTGAACACTTCCATTGACAACTTTGAATGGAGAAAATTGATGAGTTATGAAATGAACGACAAAATATAATCTATTCGAACATAGTTTTTCTTAACAAAGCATAGCAACTAATCGGCGATTTTTCTTTTAGACAAAAGATAACATATACCCCATAATAAGAAATAGAAATGTGTTGACAGATTCAGCTAAGGACTATATGTCGACACAATAAGTGCAGGCAAACGTGACAGAAATAGTCTAATATCTTGAGTGATACGCACAATACGTATGAATAAATGACAAAACCCATTCCATTGATTTTTTTTTAGTAACTATCTGTCAATAAGACATATGACATGTTTCGACTGATGATGACATCTCGGATAAGGATAGGTCACAGTGTAAAAAAAGCTGAATTTCAAGGATTTTTTTTTCTTTTTTTTTATATTTATCGAACATTCATCCTGCTGATAAGCATTTCGCAGGGGTCTCCTTCTCATCCATCACGACGTTCTCTTAGTTCGACAACATGCCTAATCCCATTCATTTTTTTTTTGTTCACTGCTAATTCTTTCTCTCTTTATTAAAAAGAACTTCTTTTTCTTCTTTTTTTTTGCTCTTCAGTTATGAGCATTTACATCGAACAACACAAGAGCTTTGCGCAAATCACTTGTGTGCGATGATCAAAACCTATTTAACCTTGTTGTATGTGTCTATAAAGTGATTAAAGGCTCATAATTGAAGTGAGTGACGTCGATAAGGGAGAGTGAATGCGAGAAAACGACTGAAAACAGCAGAATTGAACGCCTTGGGAATAAGAATGAGTGCCACAATAAAGTGAGCACGCTTAAAGTATTTTTGAGAAAAAGATAATAAGATACTTTTTTCTTTCCTTTTAACCTAGATAAAACTAGATATAACAATCAAATCAAATAAACCTATGTACAAAATAATTGTACAATTTAAGAATATAAGATAAACTAATTTTTGATAGATCTTTTGTTTATTTTTTCATTTTGTATTACTTTATCAACATAAATATTCTTATTCATTTTATAATGAGTGTTGATAGGTATACTCGTATGAATAACACGTCAACGGAATATATATAATAACAAAGCAATTCATTAGCCGAATGACTAACCTTCTATTGATGTGTTATTCCCATGAAAAATAGTGTTAGTTATTCGTTTTATCTGCTTTGCATAAAAAAAAATAGCTTGATCTTGTTTGATGGTTAAGAATAAAGAGTGTGTAAGGTCAAAATAGAATCATGGATGTAAAATAAGTTCTTATTACCTCGAGCAATATTATCGTCTCACATGTTTCTATACTGATGGAAGATGATATTTACCATGCATGTACTTGAAGTCTAGGTCTACTCTAAAATTTGCACTTCCTATATATTTTTCTTACAGTAATACAAGTAACATAAAAATGAGAAAAAATTTTGAATTATTTTTCCAAATATTTGGGATGCATTATAAATAATTTTACGTAAAAGGTATTCGCCTGAAGGAAGATTGATAAATCGTATCGCTTGAAAAAGAAATACTGATAACAAAATTATACATCGTTGTTGATATATCTGCTTTCCATCTTGATCTGTCACTTGCTACAATGAATCAAAATATTTCCTTATCTTATAAACTATTTAACATGTTATAAGTACAGATTATTTGATCTAATTTACGATATTTGAAATCCTCAGTAGGTTAGATTTATTTAGTAAAAAAAATAAACTGTAACTTAATTGAGAACAATATTTATTATGAAGTCACTCACCAGTTACTATGAGACCCATTTTGCTTCATATATAATTTATTCGTAGGTTTTGTTTTGTTTCTATACGTTACGATCAGCAGAGAAAAAAGAGATCGAATAATTATTGTTTTTTCCTTCATAACGGGTTGCATAAATAACAGAAGAAATGCAAAACTGATATGCAAAAAAAAGTAAAAGTCATCTGTATTGAACGAACGATCAAACGACTGTAATATATTCTGTTTTTGACAATTCTAAAAATCATTAAAAATAAAATTTTATGATTTTGACATTATTTGTACCCTGAAGCAATAAAACATTGAAAACTGAAATTATATCATTGAATCGACCTAGATAATAAGTACATGTATTGTGAATATCATCGAATACCGGTTTAGAAACATCGGAGAAAAGAGTATTGCTTAAGGGAATCAAAACTTATTTTACACTCTTTCTGGGAAATAAAATACACTCGGATCGAGATTATTTATTTGTCTGTATGCCTATTCTATTTTCTATGTCATCTCGAACCCTGAAGTCAGTTAGAAGAGAAGAATAGAAAAAGACATGCACGAAAAAGCAGATAAGATAATTTTGTTTCCTACGTTTTTTGTACTAAAAAAATATCTCACGTCTAAAAATAAGTAATCTAATTCAACAAAATAATAAATAAGATACTTTTTTAAATTGAAACATAATTGATATATAATTAGCCGGATGATTAAATTGTATAAAAGAAAAATTATCTTACTACGTGTATGTTCACTTTTTTCTAACGATTAATATATTGATATTAATAATGAAAGAATGATTTTCAGATGAATACAAGATGATAATAGGTAATTTTAGATGATTAAATACAATAATAAAGGTTGAAAACAAATAATAATCGATAAATTGTTAATTCCATTAGGCAATAGTTTTTCTTTTTTTATATCTTGAAAAAAAAAAGAAAATTTACAAACTTGTTTATTAATGTATCATAACAAGTATAAACAAGAAGTAATTGTCTTCAATTTAGAGATAAGATCATAAATATCATGATCCAATGTAAAAAAAAAACAATGATAATAGATCATGAAATACTATATATATTTAATGACCATAATTATCAATAGGTTTTAAACATAATTTTTTTTCTGAAGAATATTTCAATCATTCCGACTTCAATTAACTTATAAAACAAAAAAAATATTATTTTTGAATAGATGAAAAAAAGAGAAAAAGAATGTCATTTATTTAGAAGAGAAAGGAAAAGAGAGCGAGTCATAATGAAAGTCAATAGTCATTAAATATGAAAATTTTTTTTCTCTGAGTAGCAATTGTTCATTCAAAACTAAAAGATTTAAATGGTCTATGCATTGATTATGCTTGACTTCCCATTACGTTCTTAGTCGATTTTTCTTCGGAAAAAAAAGAGAGACCGGAAGAAGACGGAAGGAAACTTCTCCTTACCTGTTTTCTGCCTTTCTTCGTTCTGTCGTTGTGATGAAGACACAGCCACGGTCTACTTCATCTTCATATTGTTTCTTCTTTTTTCTTCTTTTTTTCTGTTTCCCTCTTATTTCCTTGAAGTCAATTATCCATAATGGTATTACACAAAGTGTATGAAGGGGATAATTCAAGAGAGAGAGATTTTACTACGTATACAGGCACCTCATATTGGCAAGAAAAGAGAGTTTTTTTTCTTTATATCGCCTTGTATTTCTTATTTTGCCCTCATATGTCTATCATTGATGTTATCTTATTCTAAAAAGCTTAAAGGCACAACATGCCTTTAATCTGTTATTACTTTTTTTCACTGAGCTAAAGAACAACTACGGATGAAACATCATCTTATTATTCTTCTTCGATTTTGTCTCTATTTATTTTGTGTTTAAAGCAAGAAAATAGATTTCATCCGATCATCATTATCATCAAAAAGTAACGGCAAACCACATACACAAAAGAACTAGACTAAAATAAGAGAGAACCATGATAGAAAAAGAAGCAATGTTCAAAATCGTTCTCTTCCTTTATCCTGTTCTTTCTCTCAGTCCCTTTATTTTCTTTTCTAGATGGTTGTAACAACGAGCGAAAACAAAAAAAAAAATGAGAGAGAAGGGCATTCATTGAGTACAAAGGAATTTCTATAATAGTAAATAGACCTTCTTTTTTTCTGTGTTAGGATAAACATTGTAATATTGCTTTCATAAGAGATTTTCTTTAATATAATGATAATAATAATAAAAAGGATAGACCTACCTTTATTTTAGTGATGTTTTTCTGGAGTTCATTAGTTTTATATGAAAAAAATCTA